TTTCACTGTTAAATTTATGTTTAAATAAATCAATTGTCCTCACACGGTGACACCAACTGTACCGTTTTTAAATAAAACGAACGGTTCGAATTTATATAAATATATTTATTTATAACTTTACAGTTCGATACTATCTTATCAACTAAACTAAACTCCTAATTTCGTTACATATATATACCAAAGTATTATGTTCGAGAATATTCGAGAATAGTCCCACCTCTAATTCGTTATTCGACGGGTGGAATTTTACAGTGCTCGAAATATCGCCGAAACTCTCGGTGCTTCGAGATGCGACCGTTAGGTAATCCACGCTAAATGCATGTTCGTAACAATATATATATATATATATATATATATATATATATATATATATATATATATATGCCTTCATATATTCAGCACACGTTGATGTATTTAGGGGGCCTTCATGATATCCTGACTTTTTCACATCATATCTATCATTGGACTTAACATCTACTACCACATATGGTCCAAGATACTTCTTCCTCAGCTTGAGTCCACCACCAAACTGCGTTCTCTTAATTGCCACTAGGTCTCCTTTTCTATACATTCTCGGCTTCTTCCTTCGTAAATTATACCTACTCTCGTTTCTTAACATGTCTCTACTTTCATCATATTGTTTGATCATTTCCTGCTCTATTATTTCTTTCATTCTTAGATCCTCTTTATTCTTCATCTTTGTCCCAAACAGTACTTCGAATGGCGTAGCATCAATGCTTCTTTGATAAGTGGAATTAAAAAATTGTTGTAACTTATAAATATGCTTATACCACTTCGTCGGTTCCTCTATACTCAATTTGGTTAATACTGGGATTAACGTTCTATTGACACGTTCTACTTGCCCATTGTCCCTTGGTACACCTGTCGTAATCTTAATATGCTTAATTTCTTCACCTTGACAATACTCTTCGAACTCGTTCGCTGTAAATGCGGTACCTCTATCGGATATTATTCGGAGGGGATTTCCGAAATCCTTCTGTTGCCTCTTCAGACATTCTATGACTTCTTTTGCCGTCGCTGATTTTGTAGGATAAAACCATGCAAATTTAGAAAAATCGTCGATGATCACCAAGATGTGATTATAGTTTTTGTTGGTTGTAGCTAAAGGTCCTAAATGATCAACATGAAATGTTTATAAAGGTCCATCGATTTTTAATATCGGATGTAACCAACCCTCTTTGTTACCTTCTTTTCTACTTCCAAGTATACACTTAATACAATTTCTTATACAATGCTCGACTTTTTCTTTAAGGTTAGGAATATAACATTCTCTTTGAATTAACTCCTGTGTTTTTGTTACAGCAAAATGTCCTACCTCGTGTAACAGTTTAATTACTTCTGTTTGCATTCGTTTCGGAATGACTAACAATTCCTTACCTTCGTCATATTTAAATAGAATATTGTTTCTAATCAGAAAATCCTCGTAAGCTTCCGTAGCAAGTATTTTCTTTATTGCTTGAATGTGGTTATCAGTTGTAGAGGATTTATGTGTCGTCTGTCTTTTAATGAGTTCATACAATTTAATTTTCTCCTTGAAGTCCCTGAAGTTGTATGCGCCATAAAGCATAACTTTATTAACAGGGTCGTCTTGAATGCCCTCTATTGTATATTGTATTATGACCTCGTCTTCTATGTTACCTCTGCTACCAATTTCCCTCATCGTCAGTACATACTCCTGTACACTTTCATCATGTTTTTTCTTTCTACGCATCAGCATTTTATGTATTTCAGCGCTACTTATTTTATTTTCGAATTCCGAAATAAGTCTTTTCTTCAATATTTTCCAGCCATTAATTCCTTTTTCTGACTGAATATACAGTTTCGCAATTCCTTTTAGGGATCGTTTGGCAAAAATTAGCATTTGCAAATCATTCCATCCCATTAACTCAGAAATTTCTTCGAAGTCAGTAATCCATTTTCTTACCGGATAATCGTCTTTTCCGTCGAAGGGTCTTATGCTGTCTTCTACGTCTTTAAAAGTCAAAGCAAAAGAATCATTTACTTTATCGAAAGGGTTCTTCTTTTGCTGGTTTTGTCACCAGAGTGGACCAATCACAGCTAAGATTTTCACTCTCGCCAACCAACTAAAACAAGATTTATTATCTCCGATTGTATTGGCCCTCTGACGGAAGATCGCTGTGCACATGCAACTGGAAACAACAACATTGTCCACTGCTACCAATCCTTGGGGCTCGTTCCACAGACACAAAACACCTTTCACAATTAATATTTGACAAGAGCTCTGTTATGGAACAAAAATAATTTGCTTCTTCCGACGTTCAAATCACAGTAATCTTTTTTTTCCCAAGCAAAACATCCAAAACTTCCTTCACTTCAATCCCTCTTTGTGAGTCCGCTCCAGAAGTGAGGACAGGTAACACACATTGGTCAAAGATTTTCCTTTTGAGACAAATGGGTAGATCCAAATTATATACACAGTTTAGTTTACCAAACGCTGCCCAGGCTAATCCTATGTGAAGTGGGAGCTCACATGTCTGGTTATCTCTGATCAATCGAATTTCATGTCCTAGGTACTTATACGATGTAGTCTGCAGATGCAGAATATCCCTTTCATCAACAGCAATATTTCGATTTAACACCAGATTAGTCATTATTTGCGTCTGGTTCATATTAATCTTTAGTCCACCTCCAAGAAAGCGTGATATAATTTTTCAAGCATTATTATTGCATCATACATACCATCGGCTATAAGGATGATGTCATCACATTGGTAGGTACAGCGGTAGTAATACCAAAAGTTTGTTTTCTCATCTTAAAGATAAGATACCAGTAATGTACACTACCAATACAATCCACAAAATACCGGGCTTAGGTTGCAAAGGTTGTTATATTGGACAGACAAGCCAATGGTTAAAATAACGTAATACCCAGCACAAAAGTGACTGCCATAAAGGTAAAAATACAATCTCCGTTGTCGAATATTTCATCAACACAGGTCATAAGTTTGACTATACCAAGAAATGTTGAAATTCTACAAACAGTAGAAAGACCACCTACCATCGAAAACGTTGCCCAAGCCATTAAAAAGCTTAAAAATAATAAATCACCAGGAGTTGATCAAATTTGCAGTGAGCTCTACAAGAATGGTGGCGATGCCCTACTACAGACACTGCATACGCTTTTACTTCTTGTTTGGCATAATGAGACCATGCCCTGTGAATGGTCTCAAGGCGTGATATGCCCGTTACATAAAAAAGGTGACCAGCTCCAGTGTGACAACTATAGAGGTATAATCCTGTTAACAACTGCTTACAAAATACTAGCAAATATTCTCTACGAAAGGCTGCAAGTTTACACAGTGGGCATAGTTGGTAAATATCAAGCTGGATTCACTCCAGAAAAATCAACAATTGAACAGATTCACTCAATAAGACAGATTCTCGAGAAAACATTAGAATTCAATATTGAAACCCATCACCATCAATGCATGAGTTTGGTATACCGGAGAAACTTATCCGACTAACGAGAATGACAATGTCTAACTTAGAAGCCACTGTTAGAATACAGGGAGAGAGTTCTAGATCCTTTGAGATAAAGGATGGACTCAGACAAGGGGATGCTCTGACTTGCCGCCTATTTAATATTGCCTTAGAAAAAACAGTCCGAGATACACGAATTAGGGATGGCGTTACTATTTACAATAGATCGATACAAGTCCTGGCATATGCTGATTACATTGACATAGTAGGGCGTAGTAAGCGAGATGTTGAGCAATATCTTCTAGAATTGGAAACAGCGGCGAAACAGGTCGGTCTAGTCATCAACGAAGACAAAACCAAGTACATGTTGGTTACAAAGGATCCGATAGCAAATGAGGAACGAGAAACAGTCTTTGGAAGTCATACCTTTGGACGTGTTGACAACTTCACATACCTTGGGTGCTATTGACTGCTACCAATAAAACAAGCGAAGAAATCAAAAGAAGAATAAATCTTACAAATAGGGCATACTATGGACTCCCAAAAGTATTTCCACTCAAGAAATATTCAAAGAAGAACTAAAATTATTATATACAAAACATTGCTGAGGCCGGTCCTCACATATGGAGCAGAAACATGGACTCTAACGCAGAAAGATGAAAGACTTTTTGGAATATTTGAGCGTAAAATACTCCGCAAAATATTTGGAGCTGTAAACGACCAAGGGCAGTGGTGCAGAAGATATAATTTTGAATTGTATCAGCTCTTTGATGAGCCAGATATCATAACGTTCATTAAAACACAGCGACTTAGATGAGCTGGACACATAATACGAATGCCAGAAAATACGATTGCTCAAAAGCTAACCACAGGAACACCTGTAGGAAAAAGAAGCAAAGGCCGACCGCGAATTAGGTGGCTAGATGGAGTGGAAACCGACTTACGAATATTAAAAATGAGAAGATGACAACATGTTGCCAAAAACCGAACAGAATGGCGACAAATCTTAGAGCAGGCCAAGATCCACAGAGGATTGTCGAGCCAAAGATGATGATGAGATGCGAATCAGTTAAGCAGCATCTACAACCATATTCTGCAATCCATGAAGGATCCATACTACAATTCAAGTATTAAATTATATTATGTATTTGATAATTCTATGTATCATTCAACATTAATTTGTTTTTCTTTTAAATATTAAAGACTTCTGTTTACTGTTAATTGTATTAATATGTTTAAACATTTTTATAAATAAGAGAAATCTCTCGAAATAGTTACATTATAATATCAATGACAAACGTTATTATTACACGGGCATTTAACTCAACATTTATTACTCCATTTGGGATCGATTAAGCCTTATTTTCAATCAAAAGACAACATATTTTTTCAGGTCATATTCAACATTGGAAACCGCTTCTAAATAACAATTTTTCACAATTTTGGCGAAGGCGTTCTTGCTAGTTGGTGCTTCCTCATACATACGATACTCTACTCTTTCACCAAATCTATTCCAAGTACATCGACGTACCAAAGTAGGTCGACGCAAGAGCGTACCACTCTCTTCATTTTCAACCAGCCGGCTGTTGTCGACGACCAGTACCACCAAGTAGTAAGTAGTACCGCATTTCCTACGAATTGTGATAGTACGTTACATTCGATCAGTACAATTCGAAATTTGTGCGTGTCGGAGCGGATTTTCGGTACTTCTTGACACGAGTGACGCGTCTTCGTCTAGTCGAGAGTCTGGCTGTCTGTTCCGGTGCTATCGGTACTACTTGACAACTTGGTGCTTTACCGAACCTGTTACCACAACAATAGTGACCTGAAGTATGTTCTGTCTGTTATGTAAATATAGAGAAACTAGTACTTGATAGCAGTACTATACTGTGAAATGAAATTTATTTATGCTATATTTTAAATTCCTGTTTAAATATTATATATAGACACCAAACATTAATATTAATATAATAATAGTACCTACTAACAATTGAGTCACATGGAGTATAAACAAGTTTTGCAAACGCATTCTTTTTTTTATTTATCTCTGTTTTTTCTTCCTTTTCATTAATTATGCCTATCGCATACTTGTTAAGGGTTTTCCGTATTTCTCTTTCCTTTTTTAGTTGTCATATTTCTTCCATTGGTCTTGTATTCTTCATTTTTTATAAATATTGTACACTAAGGACTGATTTAATATAAATGAGTTCTCAGTGTAATGGTTTTTTCAGTGTACATTTAATCTTGTTTGTGTCAATAGTCATTGCAACCGACACACATTCAATTAAATAAAAAAATATACGTGTCCCCTTATTTTGTACATTTTAGTTTCTCCTTTTTTGTTAATTCAAAAGTTTCTGTAATTAATGGAAAATCAAAAGTTAAGAATGGTCTGTCTATATATTGATTTTGGTGAGATGAGGAGTGCCTAGCTGCTTCAATTTTAAGGAAAAATCCTTTGAAAAAGTTTAAATTTAATCTAACGTTTAATTTAATTTAAACGTTATGTGTTATGTTCTTTTCTCCTCTTTCTTTTCAAGCTCCACCAGACAGACTTTTTCTCCCAGCTTCACAACCTTCTCTATTTGAACATCGACTGTTAATTCTACCTGCATAAAATTGTTTATTTTATGTTTTATAGGCTCTGGGACATTTGTATCTATGTTCAGGCCTTGTATAACTATTATTTTACGCCTCTTTCCATTTTCCAAAATTTCAAGCCGTTTTTATGTTTGAAAACCTACCTTTTTGTTTTGTGTTTTCTTCTCTTAATGTAACATTCTCTTGTCTTAACTGTCTTATTTTTTCTCTATATTCTTTTTGTTCTCTACGAATTTCGCTGAGTTCTTTTGATTGTTTTTCTATCTTTATACTCACTCCTGTCATTTCCATAATTTTTTGTACATTTTCTTCCATTTTCTCCTTTTTTTTTTTGATGGGAGATCTCCCTATCTTGCGACTTTTGGTGAAAGCACGTTGTAACTCTTCCTTCCCCTTGATCTCCTTTTCTTTTCTTCTCGTTTTGATCTGTTGTGGTACCGTCGCTTTCGAAATCGAAATTTGAAATTTTAAAACGATATTTGTCCTTATCTTCACTGCTCATTAAAAATATTTTGTTTCACCGCGATAAAGGTCTCTCTCGGATCGTCTCATCTGAAGCTTAACCCTTCTCAGTGTAACGTCTTACTTTGTTTTCTTTATTTATGTTAATAATTGTATTGAGCAGTATATACTATTTCGAGCCTCCCTAGTTACTTGACTTCGCTGTAGACTTGGCAACACCGCTTTCTAATCAATCAAGGTTCAACCAAGTTCAACCCAATACTGGTGACGTTTTTATTGCTTATGTGTTATTCTTACTGGTATTTTTGCCAATTTCGAAAACACTTTTAATGTATTGATTATTATTTTTCACTATGCGCTAAGATTACTTACTTAACTTTACACTTTATAGAGGCAAAATATCAACAAAAATAGCCAAACACATAAAAAAGAAAGGAATAGCACCAGCTTTCAGAACAAATAACAAAATAAGCAAATATATTAAAAACAACAAGAGCCAAAATAAAAAACACTTACACAGTGGTGTACAAACTTAAATGTGGCGACTGCCCAAAAATTTACATCGGTCAAACTGGTAGAAATTTTAATAAACGAATAACAGAACATAAAGGGCTTTCAATAATAGAAAAACAGAATCTACATACGCACTTCACCTTCTAGATCATAATCACTCTTTTAATGAAGAATTTAAAATTCTTCACATTCAAAATAAAGGCCTTAACTCCCCTCCTCAAACTATTCCATTAAAGACTATAAAGTGTAAACGCATGCCAAAAATAGATCACTTGCGAAAGGCAATCAGCCGAAACAGCTGTAGTGATAAGAGTTTAAAATAAATTTTGTGGAAGTTTGAAAACAAAGTTTTCAGTGTTTTGTTATCTTATTCTGTTAACTTCAACTTAGTAATACTCCATTCATTACTTTAAATTCCTTTTTAAAAAACGTTAGTCCTCTTTTTCAGTTTTTTTTTATTTAATAACATTTAACTACTTACGTAATAACCCCTTGATAAAAATTATACAATATAAAAGTATAATTCGAATATCGCGTGAACAATATCAATAATTTGTAGCAACTCACGGTAAAGAAAGTTTTCATCTCCTCAATATCGTTTAGTAGGAAACTGATAATTGATTCTGACGCTCACCTCCGGAATCGATATTTTTTGCTCTGCATCGAGACACATTTGGCATTGTTCCATAACCAATTCTGATTCAAAAGATGCGAGATAGGAATAACAAAGAAGGCCTTAAAATATTGGTTTCTAAAAAACAATTAATAATTGTCTCTTTTCAAACCGGTGTCTTGTCAGAGAAACAAAATGAATAGATGGTTTACATATAGACAAGTACATTTTTCAAAGCAGGGTTATACAAAAAACAATTTGGGTTGGGACAAATTTATAATGTTCTTATACAGCGTGGGCAAGAAAATAATCGTAAATTTTTTACGGTTTAATGAGAATACGTGTAGCATTCATCTTAAACTTTTCTTTCATCAGTTTATAACATAATTATACTGGTGCAAAAGCTTCTGCATAGTCTATATTATATTCTCTTTAAATAAAACCTCTTGCCACTAGTCTTGTACGATATTAAACTTTATTTTCGCTATTACACTTTAATTTAAACACCCACTTATCAATTACACTACCATTTTCTAGAAATATTGGATTTCATCCATTATGGCTTCTCTCCACTTTGCTCCTTCTGGACGTTGTAATACCTCCGAGACTGTTATCTGTCACTTGTCTCCGCACACATATATGTTACATATTTACCTAAGTCTTTTCTTTTTCTTACTCTTTCTAACTTACTTGTGTATTTCTTGTAATGTTTCAGGTTAATTGGGCACTTCAAAGTCTTTATCACTTAAGTTTTTTTTAACGAATTATTCTCATTTGCATATTCTTCAATTAATAATATAATAGTTTACCTAACGCGTCAAAAGATACACTGGAGGCAAAAGTTTGATTAGTGCTTGGTTACTCAATTGTGAAAGAGGACCATTTCAAACTTCCAATAAGTAACCATACGAGAATTAATTATTTGTTATTCGTCAATTCAATAATTTAATAGGGTCAGAAATTTTGAAGTTAAGGTTAATGCCGGACTCATTATTTTTGTTAAAGATTCCCTTATTTGTAAAAAGTATCGCAACTCAAGAACTACATTGTATATTTAATTCGGCAGGGCCTTAGCTTTTTAATAATTAATTATCTTTTAGAATAGCGACCCTTTGGCAAATACAGTTCACGAGATGTAACTGTCGCTAGTGGGCGGATTAAATAGAGATTAATTGTTTATTCCACTCACATTACACCAGGTGTAATAACCCAGTTGGAATAACAATACCTACCAGGACCGGTTTGAAAGAAGCTACTATACTAGGTCAATAAATTTGGTCATACATTTTTCTGTTATTTGCACTATTATAATATTATGTACAATATATTATAAAGTTTAGAAACCACACACACATGTAGGTACACACTAATTTTAGCAAATTTTAATTCTAGCTAGAAAGTTATTAAATATGCGTCTTATGTAGTTCTATAATAAAACAACTTAAGTCGACACACACGCATGCGCTGTTTTGCGTCTTTTAATAAAATAAAGTAATGTTCGTTGCAAGATATTTCGGATTTAATCTACTATTTATAGTTGTATACAGGGTTGGACTTATATACTGAAACATTTTATCAAAATTACGGCAATCCCACAAAGTAAAAAAAAAATACATATAATTTCCGTCTACCGTCCATTTATGATAAACTTTTAATACCCCCAAAATCATTGATTAATGACCCCTATTAATGAATAATTTTCTATTAACGAACGATTTCATTATAGGCAACACAACATATACCATTTTTCATAGTAAAACACTTGCACGTCACGATTTATACAAAGTGACGTCACTTGTATTTAAAATTTCCAGAACATCAACCTTAGGGTTCAAATTTTCCTAACACAGCTAATAATACGAAACCCATACGGAACTGCTCGATCTTTCATAGGCGTCAACATGGTGTAATAATCAGAAAAATGTAATCATCATTATATTGGAAATTTTAGAATTATGTTGATTAAATCACCAAAAACATTTGTTATTATTAATAATATAAATTTTATGAAATCACTCTTTAAGTCTAATATTCCACAAAATAATAATTTTAATTAAATAGATTAGACAATTGTACGCAACTTCTTCTTCTTCTTCTGGTAGCACTATAACCCGGGGTGGGTCTTGGCTGACTGCACAACCTGTTTCCATCTCGAACGGTCGTCCATGATGTTTAAGTCAGTGGGTAGCCCCATTGTTCTCAAATCTGACCATATATTATCTCTCCATCGCATTCGTGGACGTCCTAAGGGCCTTCTCCCTGTCGGGACTTCTTCCCAGATTAACTTGGTAAGGCGGTTATTAGGAAGCCTATGAACATGGCTTCCTTCATCTTAGACGTTGGGATTTAATCTCTTGGACTACGTCGCTAGCACTATACATTTGTTTGACCTCGACATTTGTTCTCATTCGGTATTGGTTAGTATTCGGATCGTGATAGGGACCGAAGAACTTTCTGAGGATTTTTCTCTCAAAGCATCTGAGTTTACTTTCCATTGCTTTTGTCAGCGTCCACGTCTCACACCCATACATGAGCACCGGTCTAATTACTGTTTTATATATCCTGATTTTTGATGTTCGTGTTAGGCTTTTGGATTTAATAGTGTTGTGGAGGCTATACATACATCTGTTTGCTGCCTGAA